GTGTTTGAAAGCAGCGCAGGATAAGGGAATGCCATTATGACATTCCAACTTTCTCCATCTGCTGATTGGTGCCTTCCATGTACAGCTGATGTGTGTGTGTGGAGACGCAAGTACTGTCACACACACACCAGTCATGTTGTGCAGCAGAAGTGTGAAGGTTATTAGGGGAACATCAATCAGTGTTGATGTTAGCTTTTGTTGCCATGAGATACTGCACTGTTTTCTGTTGGCTGAAGACAAAACTGTGGTGTTATATTGCTATTAGCTCTCCTTTAAGCAGCCTTGCTCACAAACTGATGGGCTATCTTCTGCTTTCCACACGAGTATTACACAGCCTTCACTCGTGCAGGCAAGGAGCTGCTGGTCTGTGAATAATGTAAGCACCCACTTGTCATCCCCATATTTTGTGTCCACTGTACAGTTACACCAGCACGCTATTTCCAGAGTCACGGCTATGTTCGTCTGTAGCTTGTTGGCAGCAAAACTAACAAAGAAACTTGTGGCACCTCAAAGACTAACACATTTTATTTGGCATAAACATTCACAGAATGAAACTGGCTCCTTCAGACGCATGGTGTCGTCCCAGCAGACAAATAGGGATGGATAGAAATGTATTTTTACCGAGGCTACACTCCACACAGATAATATGGGCTGAGCTCTGTCAACGCTTATGCCAAATAGCACTTGATAGCCTTAAGGAGCCACAAGAGTCTTTGCTCATTTTACTAGCTTACTATTTATTTTATCCACCCGAAAACAAATTGGTGCTTTTTTAACCTTATAGGTAAAGGTTCCCCTTGACATTTTTAGTCCAGTCGTGTCCGACTCTAGGGGGCGGTGCTCATCCCGTTTCTCAAGCCGTAGAGCCAGCGTTTGTCTGAAGACAGTTTCCGTTGTCACGTGGCCAGCGTGACTAGGGATACCTTCCTTTAATAGTACAACTTTTCCTTTGGGTTCTGCCAACTAGTGAGTCCCACTTAGCACAGCAACATTAGGACATAATCTCTCAGTGTGAATTATGAGATTAAAATAAATTTGTTATTTAATTTTTAAAAAGGAGCTCAAAATCTTCTCCCACTTCTGGCTTTGTTTACAGTAATCAAATGTATCAATCCACAGTTGCCATTTTTCCATAAATAAATCCAGCAGATTAAACACAAATATTGTGGTCTCTTTCTCCCCAGTTTTAAAAGTTAGGTAAATTAGGTACAACTGATGTTGGATGAGATCACTCTCATCTAGTGATGATACAGCTTTCTATACGCTTAAGACAGCCTTAGAACCCTCTTGAGCGATCCATATTAAGTGCCTTGGACAGAGTGGGAAGTTAGGTACCAGTAAAAAAGTCAGAATGTCAGAATGACTAGGGGAGTAACTACTTTTGATAATCCAGGATTACTATGGAGTAACTTTAATATTATTTATTTATTTGGCTTTTATACTGCCCATCTAGATGAATCTACTCTGGGCGGTTTACAGTCCAAAAAGGCAATAAAATTAAAATCATCAATAAAAAGACGAAAACAAGCCAAAAACCAGAGGAAAAATTATGTAATGGCAGGAGGGAAGGCCTGTCTAAAGAGCCATGTCTTCAATTTACTCTTAAAAATTCCCAGGCAGATCTCAGAGGGGAGGATGTTCCAAAGGTGAGGGGCCACAATCAAGAAGGCTCGATTTCTAGTTTTTTCCTTCTGGGCCTCTCTCGGGAGTTAAGCCCCTCAGCTACCCAGCCTGGCTAGAACGAGTGACACATGTAGAACTGGGTGTAAGAAGGCGCTCTGACAGGTACCGAGGTCCTAAACTGTTTAGGGCTTTATATGTAATCATTAGAACCTTGAAATCAATGCGGAATCTAACCGGTAACCAGTGTAAGGCGGTCAGAGTGGGGGAAATACATTTTTTACCCCAGTTAGTAATCTGGCCGCCGTGTTCTGGACCATTTGAAGTTTCCGCATCAATCTCAAGGGAAGCCCCATGTAGAGTGCACTGCGGTAGTGTAATCTCGAGACTACAAGCACATGGACAAGTCTGGTGAGTGCCCCAACATCAAGATAGGAGCACAGCTGGGCAATCCGCCGAAGATATAAATGGGAGGTGAGGACCACAGACGGTACCTGGGATTCCATGGCAAGCACTGGGTCAAGAAGGACCCCCAAGCTGAGGACCACACTCTTTGTGGTGAGAGTCGCTCCCCCAAAAGAGAGAGTCCCTCCCCCCAAAGATGGTTTGGGAAGCTCCATCTTGTCCGGGTTCAGCCTCAGTCCATTCTCCTGCATCCGTTGCAGGAGAGCTCCAGGCAGCCCTCAAGGGACATAACGGCATCCACTGATGGAAAAAAAGATGTAGAGCTGAGTGTCATAACAACTCCCTATGTCCTCATGTAGATATTAAACAGCATTGGAGAGAGGATTGAGCCCTGTGGGACCCCACAATTGAGGAGCCATGGAGCCGATACATTCTCCCCAAGCTGGACTCTCTGAGAACGATCCTCCAAGGACTGGAGCATCCCCAGGAGGATCGCGTGGTCGATGGTATCAAAGATGGCTGAGATTTTGAGGAGAACCAACAGGGACATTTTGCCCCTGTCGGCCTTCCTCAATAGGTCTTCTAGCAGGGTGACAAATGCCGTTTCCGTACCGTGGTGAAGCCCGAAGCCTGAATGAAACGGATCTAGGGCATTGCTAGCTGAAAGAATCAAATCCTAATAGAATTTTTATTCAACCTGGGGTCCTCAGCCTACCCCACACCTGCATGTATTAACGAAAACACAAAAACAAAATAAAAACAAAAGCATTATTCCATCTGTACTCCATGTGTTGAGAAAACAGATTATAACCCAACTGAAATCAATCTTGTTAATCTTCAAGATACCACAATATTTTTGTTACATATTTTGTTATACTTCTTTCTTGGCTATTCTTGATTGAGGATATCACTTCTTTTTATTCTGGAGATCAGCAAGTGGGTTAGTTGCATAATAAACCCTTCGGCCAATACTGAAGTTTGTGAGTTGACGGGTAACTACACGTTGCATTCAGCACTGCCAGATAACCTTCAAGTAATGAGCTCAAGCCAAGCAAGTTCCTATCGCAAAATTAAAAAGACTAAAGCTCAAGTTGGTCTAAATTTAGACTTTCGCCTCTCCATGCCAACACTTAGAAAACAGAGGGGATTACTTTTCCACTTCACAGTATCATTTACGGGATGGATTTGTTTAAATTTGTCCATTTATTCTACACCATGTAGTAACACTGCCATGAGACTGGACCCATGCCTTTAAGTTTTGGCAAGCTTTGGAGTTCCTCTGAAATGCAAAAACGTCCAAATGTATGATATTCAGCCTGTTTTCTTGACCTTTTACCTTTCTGAGTTTCTATTTCCTGTAGTGAAGCACACTGTTTCTCTTGTCTTTTGGGAGACTTTCCTGCTGCAACCTGACAGACCATCTATTAAAGTTTTAATCAGTATTGCACTGGAATTGCATTGTTATCTGCCCTAAAGTCCATGAATGAAGTGGCCTGTAAAGTGAATAAATACAGTACATACGCTTTGAAAAATAGGAAAGCTTATAAACATTCAAATAATACTGCAACTGAAACCATGCCAGGACATGAAGCGTTTTTAGGCAATCTTGATTTTTCAGCCAGTGTTTAACAAATTGACAAACTCTTACATAGAAGTACATGTGGTTACAGATGTGGGCTAATATTAGGGTTTAAGATGGGCACTGTCCTGCTGTTCAGCATGCTGACTATACAACCTCTTTCCATTTTAAGCACCAAGAGGACAGTATCGGAATTACTTTCTCAATGCTGCTTCTCATCCCTAGAACTGGAGAATCAGAACTGCATCTGCACCTGCCCTGAGACAGATTTGGTTTACTTACTCTGTTGCAAGTACAGGCAAAGGGAGTGGGCAAACTGTGGACCTCCAGATGTTACTGGCCCACAGTTAACATCAGCCCCAGCTAGCATAGCCAAAGAGGGGAAATGCTGGGAGGTGCGGTCCAACACTATCTGGAGGGCTGCACTTTATCCACTTCCTCACTACACTGTCTCTGTAAAGGAGATGAGAACAGGACTGTACATACCATGGCAGTACAGAATGAAGCAAGTCAGATCTCAGTAACTTCCCTAATGCACCTCACAGAGGGACCACTAGAGCTAACTGCTCATCTTTCCTCCTAGAAAGTACTGACATTGAACAGTACTATTACTGTTTTGGCTGCGGAGAGAAGTTAAAATGCCGAGTACCCAGAGGTTGAGCCAATCTCCCTGGTTTTTTACCCAGCCATATCTTCCACAATGAAAAAGATACACAGTTTGGATTCTGACCAGGGGATTTCTCCCCTACTGTCATGACGGAATTAAAGTCAGATCCCTGGCACCTGCCTGTTCTTGTGTTGTGTGCCTGAAGGGAAGGCAACGGCTACATTTGAGTCTTGAGATATAAGTAATACCAAAAGTGTACTTTTAAGTGCCAAAAAGAATAGGATCTTAGAGTCTTTGCTCAAGCAGAATGAAACTGAGGTTCACTAGAATATGACTCTTAATTCTGTCTTTAAGTGCTGGCCTTTATTCAGATAAGGAGTCTTTGTGGGAAATTGGCTGTACAACAGAAATATTCATTTGAACTGGAAGATGATTTGAGAAAGTGCGGTTTACAGAACAGCTTAAAACAATAAGCAGATATAGACCCGCCAGCTCTTAGACTATTAACCTCTTCTATATAATCAGTGGAAAAAATCTAGAGAAACAGCTATTAACAGCCTTTCGATGTGAAAGGGTGGATATTTATTGAACTATAAAATTACTCAAAAGCCAAGGCTTGATCTTTAATGTTGCGGCTCATTTCAAACATTCCTTTTAATGAATTCCACGTACAGCAATTTCCTAGAGGTATGAACACCCCAAATCTCCTCTCTAAATATAGGGAAGTTTCTAACAGGTTCAATTGGAGACATCAAAAACATTTTAAATAGACACCACAAGATGCATGAGTAGTTTAAAGGTCAAATTTATTAGGAGATTAAGAGATGTATTATACATAGACTATAAATACAGCACAGCTGACTTTATTCACAGTCAGACGCAGAGACAGCCAATGCCAACCTATTTTGTGGATACCCTTGTTCTTTTGTTCCAAGAAAAGTTTGCACCATAAGACTTGGATTTAGGTTTTGGAATCCTCCGCTCTTGAACATCATAGCTCCAGCCTAGGAAAAAACATGTCGAGAATTCTAAACAACACACATATAGCCAGTAAGACGGAGCAAGTGCAACACAAACAAATGTAACTTCAAGCTTTTAAAAGCTAACAAAAAAGAAATAACCAACATATTTGATATACTATATGTAATTACTAGCTTATTCTTTTGTAAAAGGCAGTGAACAGTAATCCTTTAAGACAGATATGCCTTAACTGTGACCTACACCTGTTCCCAGGTTTGTCAGATCTCAGGCACTGCATGTTCCAACCTTCTCCTCTCCTGCTGATGGATCAGCACCAACAGTTGACACATGAAGTCCTGTAATCTTATGCATCTACACCTTTCTATCTGATGTTGGGCCAAGGTTTGAAAATATTCATGGTAGTGGAGTACCACAATGCTAGAAGGAAAGCAAGAAGGACAAAGAGGTGAGCCTAGGAGAATTTATTAAGTGGCCTTCAAATCAGGAATCAGCTGCTCTGTAGTCCAGGAACCCTGCCAATATGTCTGTGCCTACAAATAAAAATCAGATGGCATCCAAAGGCATTAATCTCTTGAAACAGTCTTCCCTCTCTGTAAACCCTATTTCAACAGTATCTTTCTCTTGGATTCAGCAGCTGGACCTGCATGATTATGATGAATTTAGGATGGCAATGCTGAGCACAGAAGGGAGAGAAGTTTCTCAGTGAGAGATGGCATTAAGATCGTCATTAGGAGACTATTCAACTACTTGGTAAAAATGCAGTGAGAACACCTTTATGGTTGTTGAGAATAATCAGAGAGGAGGGAGAACATTGTCTTTCATTCTATTCTCATATGCAGAAAGACAGAAAGAGGTGTTCTCATTGCATTTTTACCAAGTAGTTGAATACTGGTAAAAATACTTTTACAAAAGTACTTTTACTGGTAAAAATACTTTTACAAAAGATACTGCCACACCCACTCTCCCCTCCCCCCACCTTTCTATGGCAAAAGATCTTTGAGATGGAGGAGAATATTCCAGAAGCAGTCTGTAATAAAATACAGAAACTGGTTTGCTGTTCAAAGAACAAAGGGCATGCATTACACTGGAAGACATCTACTACAGTTCTCTGAAGTCTAGCATTCTTGTTCAGATAAAGATATTGGCTCTGACAAGTATTTGGGGGAACACATGCATAATCTAAGCAGAAAGAGGAAGGTGCTCTACCCACTGGCCCCACCCTTGTATCCTAATACCTCCCAGTCTTGCACCTTCAGTTCTGCACCTTGGCATGCTGAACATTCACTTAAACATGAAGAGAATGCTCCATGCAGTAATACATCTTGGTTGGCTGGAATCCACAATTCCACGGAACATTCCAACTGTGATAAAGCAAAGGGTCTATTCAACATGACAAGACTAGGAATTGAGGTGTGGTAGGCAGGCAAATGCAGGGAAGTAGGGGGTGGGGCCTTTCTAGAGATCACATGTGTTCCAGCAAAACAGTACATTTCTCATAAACAACAGTGTGATTACAATGTTCTTTTCCTAAGAACTAAAAAAAGTATTTTTAAAAAAATACTTGAGGGAAAAGCCCTTCAACCCCCTACACATGCTGTTATATGAACTCACAAACACAACATTCCACATATAGGAGAGCTAAGGAATGAGGAGAACAGTCATGACAGGAAGTTCCACAAGCAGAGTAGCACATGTGGAAATACCCTGGAAATTTCCCTGGAAATACCCTGGGTTGGGGGCAGAAACTCTAGGATTCTATTGATGAAGTATGTCCTGTATTTTACCTAGCACAAATGTGGGTACAATTAACTAATGTTACTGGGTAAAAAGCAGCATCCAGAAATTGAGTGGCAAAAATTGATAAATACATTTATCTAGAAAGTGTTCTCCAGATTAGCATTTCTAACATAGACCCCTCCCATCAGCTCCTGGCAACACAGACAGTTAGCACAGGCGATGAGGTCTGCAGTGCAAAACATCTGGAAGAACCAGGCTGAGAGAGGCCAATGTGGATTCTTCTTGTTTTAGGCAATGTTTTGAAATGGAAGTTTTCCAAAACAAAGCCTTTTATCTCCTGAAAACAGTGAGCTCAAATGTCTAGTATCTGATCAGGTTGATGGATCTCTTCTGCTCGGTCCAATTTCACATGTCTAATGTGCTATGAACTGGGCTGGGAAAAAGGAGGAGTGACATAATAGTTTTACACATCAAAAAAAGCTGCTCTGTCATCAACACAGAGTCTCTCTGAAAGAGATTCTTTGGACTTGGATAATGACTATGCATCTGGACTTGGATAATGACTATGCATCAGGACAGCAAAGTCCAGTTCTCTAAACGCTGCTCAACTACAACTCCCAGCATTCTCACCATTGGTCATGTAGGGCTGATGGGAATTGCAGTCTAAAATAATCTGGGAGGGCATAATTTGTCTGTTCCTGCTCTACATGGCAAGAAGGTCATCATACCAGCCTTGGTCAGCCCTCCAAATTCCTTAACAGCACAGATGCCTTTCCAGTTACCCTAAGAAGTCCACAGGACAAAAGATGAGCAAAGATGCTCAGTGTATATATACAAGGTCAATCCTGAAATGCAGAAACTGGTGCTGGAAGTTCAAATAGGAGGAGACACGTTTTAAAAACACCTTCAGTATAATTCATTACTGCAAACAGTTTAAGGAAAGTTTATTCTGAAACAAAAATATACTAACCAGAAAGATATTAGACAGGCCTGGGCTCTACACACTAGCCTTCATTCCCCTAGAGACAACTTCAACTTTTGACTCTAAAGTTCATGAGTGAAAATGAGTTTAATGGCCCCATGCTTCCCAAGTGTTATAAACTAAGACATAAACTACCACATAATTTGGCATCACTGGATCTGCCTGGCAAACTCTGTGCTCAGGAGGCCAAGTCATGGAATTAGTGAGACTTGTAGTAGGCCAAGATAAAGGTGCCCTGGCACAGACATATGGGAAAACTCGTATCTCACCCACATTATACTGGGCTTTAAGCCAACACTCTTGGTTCCTCACTTCAGCAAGTACTAAGTTTCTTGTCAAATATTTGTAGGAAATGAGACAAAGAAAAGAGTCATTTTTTTTTAAAATGTGCCAACAATTATGGAGCTGTGATAATAAGAACTTTTCCTCTGAATCCTCAGACTCAAAAGATGCTAAGGAAGAGGAACACATTCAAAATGCATTTACTTCAGTGAGAAACACTGCAAGATCAATGCTTTTAGTCCTGCATATAAGGAGCCTGATGATTCAAACATTTTATTTGACACTACGGAAGGTATTTGAACACCTCAGCAAGAGCATCAAAAATAGTGATTACAATGCTTACCACTCACAAGTGCTATCAGTGGCAAGCCTGTTTAGAAGTGGTTTCTCAATGCTTAAACAAATTTCTGGAAACTAATTTCCACTGTTTTCAGTGACATTTGTTTTTGAGCAAAATGTGTTCAGTATTAGAGTGCCAACTTCCCAACAGCAAAGATCTGTGCGTGCATATTAGTGGTGCAGTAACAGCAGCAAAATTCATAGGACTTGGGTCAGGCATTTTTGAAAGATTACTCTTTGACTCAGTAGGAAAATGTGTACATGAAGTAACAAACATTATACTTCATGATTTCTGCAAAATCAGCTGTTTCTTCACTTGTGGTGATAATGTTAAGCAACAAAACAAAGGTATCACTTAATATGTCCGCCCCTCTAGGAAGCCTAAATGTTTCCTGTAACAGCTCATACAGAATAACTAGGGTACTCCTCCTTCTGCAAAAGGAAGTAGGGAATGGCAGAAGGGAATGTGGTGAGGAGTCCAAGAATGGAGGCTATCACATGGAAGGAAAGAAATCAGAACAGTTTTTGTTCTTAGCCAAATCGAGAAGTAAGCTGGAATCTCAATTTGGGCTGTTTGTACAAAACAGTATGATATTCGAATACTCATGTTCCAGCAGCACAGATGCACAAAGCTGTTAAGTGGCTAGTAGTTCTCGAAAATGACACAAGTCACCACCTAAAGTGGGCCTTGCTATCCACTTAACAGCCATACTTTTTCAGCATTAAAATAACAATTCTATGCCTCTATCCCTGCACTTTCTGATAAGGACAATGGATAAGGACAATAGATTCCTGATTTCTGACAATGGATTTCTGACAAGGACAATGGATTCCCCAATCCTACTAAGTGACAGATGTAAGAATATGCCAGCAAAGCTGGAAGGCTGATGTTGCACATACCATTTTTTTCAGCAAAGGCAATGGCTGCTTCTTTGGTAGAAAAGGACAAAACCATATTGGACATGGGATCCGCTCTGCAAGAGATTAGTTATGCAGTTATTTACTTATTTATTTAAAATTATATTGTCTTTCATTAGATCAGATTTCAGAGTGGTATTCAGGAAAGCAGAGGTATAGAGAAGGTAACCAATGAAACAGACTAAAACTTGTAAAATTAAATAACTCCTAAAATGCCTGGCTAGATAAAACCTGGCACAGAAATCTGACATGAATGTTAAAATAATTTTTCTGCACTATCCATAAATATTGGTGCACAAGCCTGAAGAAGCGGGATTTTATTCACAAAAGCTTGCTGTTTGTCTTTAGTGGTCTGAATAAGGTATTGCCTATTCTTGCACAGAGTAGACACATTCTGATGAGAAGTAGCAGCAGCTGATGAACCAGCTGTAGCTGGTAAAAAAGCACCTGGCCAAAGAGGCCTCTTGGGAAGACCTACATCCAGAGCTTCCCCAATCTGTGTATCTGCTTTTCGACAAAGTGTAACCCTATCAAAAATAGACTGCAAATTCAACCCCCATCATCTCCATCCTATCAGAATTCAGTTTATTGGCCCTCATGTATTCCATCACTGAATCCAGGCACTAAATGAGTTCTGCAGCTCTGCAGTTTCATCTGTCTTGGGAGAAATAGTACCAAGTGTCATCTAAACAGTGATGGCACAATTCCCAATTCCCAATTCCCAGATAACCTCAGATAACAGAAGTATACAGATTGGGAGTCAGCACTCCTTGGTGGGTCTGTAGGCCACTTTTGGGGGGCCAGAATCTGCCTCATTTTGCCATGTCTCCAAAACTGAGTGGAAAAAGCAAGCAAATGAACACTAAAACAAAGAGGAAATGCTAGTTTTAATGGGGTTTTCCCAATTTGCTGTAAAATTTAACCAATAATTTACAAAATGAACAAATGGAAAAATCCCATATTTGAAATAAGCACTTTCTGCTTGCTTTATTATCTTTCAGTAGTTTGCTACCAATTTTCAGTAGAACAGCCTTCAGGGTTTGTTGGGGACAAAGAAACTGAATTAGGATATGTGTGGTCCATGAGAGTGATGGAGGAGCTGGAAAGCACAAGGGATAGGATGGAAGCTTGCATTACTTCATGGTGTGCACGCCAAAGGATCCAATAGAAGTCCCACACTTTTTCAAAATACCAAGTTGGCTAAAACACAATCAACTTGAAATATATTTGAACGCAAATTTATGCCTCAAATATAAAATACTCGCATCCTTTTTCCTGTTGTACAAGTTTTTCTACTTGGGGCATAGTACCAGTTTTCTGCATGCCAGTTTTAGTTCTACAGTTTCCCAAGTAGCTTGGGCAGCAATCTGTTAGATGGTGTCAGAAAAAGAAAAGGAGACAACAATGTAAGATCATTTACATCTTCTACTTATTTTCTGACTTTCCATTTCTGAAGAGAAGGCTGAATCACAAAAAGGTCAAGAATTGTTACCTTTCAACTTTCCAATGCTTACTTTTTTCAAAATACCTCTTTCATGAATAACACTACAGTCACTAAAATAGAACTTTCAATACTACAAAAGCTAAGTATGATGAGTCCTCAGAATTTATCAGAGTACATATTCATTACTGAGCTTGTGAACTATATAAAAACTCATCCCAAGATCACAAAAAAGGAAACAAGATTGTTTTGCTAAGGATACTAGACAATGCTGCCTCACTGCTAAAACGTCCTTTTGATATGCAGTAGAAATGACCTTTACGGAATTGTTGGTATCTTCTTTAAATAGATGGTGAACTGACTTTATAACATTGGAAAATAAGGAAATATATGATATCCAAAGGCAGTTAGAGTTGGACAGTTTCTGGTATTGTATCTTTAACACATAATTTAACAAGTGAGCACAACACTATGGAGATGCTGCCGCATGGCATTGTGCTACAAGCATATCCTAACTATCATTTTGGAGGTCACTCAGTAATAAATTAGGTGGAGAAGGAAATCGAAGGTATTTTCCAGCCTCTTATAGTCTGCCTTGGGCGACAGTGATCTAAATATATTACTATACATATATTTAGGACAGCAGAATGAGCATTGACTTTACCAGCTTCCCTTTTTTACGTTGTCGCTGCTGCAACACACATTTATTAAAACTGATGTTGAATCTTTTGTATAAGTGGAGAAAAATATCCATTAACATTTGTGATCATGACATCTCACGTTTAGTTAACACTTTGTCAGTGCTTTCCCCTGGAATATGTAAGCAATTATGCTAATAGCAATCATAAAGCCTATGGCATTTTACCAATCTCTTTTATAAGAACTGCTGGATAGCTCTGCGGTTTAGGTACCTGGCTGTGGAGCCAGAGATTGGGATTTCAATTCCCCACAGTGTCTCCTTGAGAGGGGCTGGACTTGTTAATCCACAGGGTCCCTTCCAGCTCTGCAGTTTTAAGATGATGATGGCACCAGATCGGCCAAAGGCTTTCACAGAGGCAAAAGAGGCAGAGATAGTAAAGGGGGATTTAAAAAGGCCAGAGAAAAAGATTCAACTATCTATACACTATATTATGCTACCTATTTTATACTTACGTAGATGCCCAGCCCATTAGAGGATTTTCCCAACGCTCCCTTGTGTCAAATTCCATTTTCCATTTTTTTGTGTTGTTAACACCGGCTTGCATGGCATTGCGGGCTGGAACAAAAATGTAAGCTTTTCTGGTTTTAATATGCTCTTCTGGTACTCCAGTTAAAGGTGTAATGTCCTATAAAAATAAGAAATGACAAGTATAACCTGTTTAGGAATGCATATATGATTTTACTCCTATGGCAAGAAGTAATTTTCATTGAGGGACGTAAAATACACAATGCAGGTGCATCTACCATAGGGGCCTCTTGTAATATGGCCAGATCATCGAGTTTTCCCAAACGGTGGAATCGAAATAACCATGAACAACAGACAGAAAGGTGAGGCAAGACCAGTCAAAGGAAACCAGCTAAACACAATGGAATTTTATAGTTGATTATCCCAAGTCTCATTGATTTTAGTAGGTCTCTTCTAAGTGTGATTAAACCTCGATTTGATCACATATATTCAAAGTGTAGAAAAACACACCTGCATGTGTCCAAATGATTTTAGCTAGGAGAAGTGGATGTAAGATTTAGACTTCAAGGCCCGGGCAGCTTCTTCTGTGGCTCTCATGCTGAACACCTTCTTTTGGACCAACTATATTTTATACTTACATGGTAAACTGTGTACTGATGGCTATGGATGACGGTTTAGGTATTCTGAATAACTCTGAAGCAAGCAATTCAATAAACACTTGAAAACCTTGGGTTCATAAATAATTTGGCTGCCATTCTAAAGTTTATGAACATTTCCATGAAGGGGAAGAAAATTAAACCCACATACAAGTCATGAGACAATCTGGCTGAAATCTAAAGATGTCTGTATGCACATTCAAGGGTTTCTACACATACACTAGTAGTATCCTTTTCCGACTAAAGATTCCTGTGTAGCATCAGAGATTGCTTCAAAGGGTCCTCAATTTTTAGAAGTGATTCTTGGGAACATGAAGATGGCAACAGCAGAAATGAGAATACCTAAACACTGCAAAGAGAGCTCTTCTGAATCCTGCCTACTGTTGGGTGAGCCAGATCAAGTTTTGTATATTGTCTGCCCTGTTGTCGCTACAAAGCAGGACTTCAGTAACAAAAATGCCTGTCACAATTTCTTTTAAAGTCCTGTTTTACCGAAAAGTTGTACATTTACCCAATAATATTATGTTTTTTATTTATACAGTTTAAGGGACCTGTAATGGGAGAACTGTTGTTGTCTGCGTGAATTCTTTGTAGGCTAAGTATTGGAGCTGATTCAAAGAGCAGTGATTGAAAGCAAGGACTTTGCATATACGTAGGATCAAAGTGGCTGATTAAATGTAAGAAATGTGAAGGTGTCCTGTTTCTTGTGCTACCACACTCAGATCTCATTTTCTTATATTCTCTTACCAGGTTCTAGTGTGTGATCCTTCTGAACTGATCTTTGTTTTTACACTTGTGTAATAATTGTTATAGTCATCGCAGACCTTTAGGATTAGACAGAATGGGACGTCTCAGCAATTCCCTACACTTTGCATGCCAATTTAGTCCTTTAGCATATGTTGACAAACATGTAGATTATCAAATTCAGTGGTGTCTCGCTAGACGATTCCCTCGTGGGACGAAAAACCCGCAAGATGATTGGTTTTTGCGATCACTATGGTGCCTCGCAAGATGTTTTTTTCTCTGACTGTGCTTCACAAGACTTTTTTTTTTGAGACTGATGCTTCGCAAAACTTTTTTTTAGACCGATGCTTTGCAAGACTTTTTTTTTTTTGAGACTGGTGCATAGGGAACCTCGCAAGACGATTTTTTTTCACAAGACGACGATTTTCGCAGAACGAATTAAAATCATCTTGCGAGGCACCACTGTACTTAGAAGCCACCACATTAAACTAGCAGAAGTACCATATTTTTCCATGTATATGACCCCCCAATGTATAAAATACCCCCCTAATTTTGACCTTTGCCAGAGGTGGTGTAGCAGTTAATGGACAACTGCTCCTCCACCTCTATCTCCTGCTGCTGCCACCTCCGCTGCCTGATCACCTCCTCCATTGCAACTGCCAGGGCTCACCTCCAGCTCATGTCGCCGCTGCCTTGTCCCCTGCCTGAAGGGAGCGCTGGAGAAAGCAATGCGGTGGCAGCAGTCAATGGGCAGCAGCAAGAGGTGCCCGAGTGCGCACAAGTGCTCCTTTGCCTCCATCTCTGCCTCCTGCTGCTGCCTCCACCACCGGAGGGGACAAGGCAGTGACATGAACTCTGGAGGAGGCAATCGGGTGGCGGCATGAGCAGTCAATGGGCAGCAGCAAGAGGTGCCCAAGCGCACGCAAGTGCTCCTTGCCACCGTCAATGCCTCTGGAGGGGATAAGGCAGCGACATTAGCTGGAGGTGAGCCCCGGCAGTCACACTGGAGGCAATGGGCAGTGGCAGCAGCAAGAGGTGCCCGAGTGCGCACAAGTGCTCCTTTGCCTCCTCCTCCTTCCGTGTATAGAACAACCCTCAATTTCCCCCTAATTATTTTAGGAAAAAGTGTCATTTTATACACAGAAAAATATGGTAACACAAAACTGCCACCTACATAGATTCTTGCGTGTTCACTGCCAACAGGAGAGCTTGGACTCTCTTCTGTTGCCTCTCTCCAGGAACAAAGGCAGGCCTGGTGCAGGTCCAAATTCAGGCAGACAGAACTAATCCAAACCAGTAATGACATGACTTAAATTTGAGGAGGCAAACAAGTTTAAATACCACACTGGGATTTTAAAAATAAGCCTCAAGCTACCAACTTCAGAGTCTTTTCTGTCACAGAATATTAAAGCTGTTCATAGTCTCAACATATCATCCTTAGGAGAGAAAAAAAAAGAGGGAGGCATGTCTTCCACTCCCCCCTCCCCTTTTTGTTTCACTTTATAAAATAAACTGAGAGAAATCAGTTCTCAACTGCCAAGTGTGAAATGTTTGTCTTGCATTTAGAACGAGGGGGGGGGGAAGGGAAGCCACAGGAAATTACAACAACGCATAAAAGCTGAGCTCAGACTACTTAAAGCAAACTGTCAAAATATTTTAACAATTTAATCATAAATGTTGTCTTTGAGCCCAAGTAATGTTTATGCTGAATTCCAGTCTAGTCAAAATATGAAGACACACCAATTATTAGCACTAGTCAAAATGTTGCAATACACAAAATGACATTCTCTCGACAGATTGGCATTTGATTTGATTGCTAAAAAAAAGAGAAATATCTAAAAGGTGGTTTTATTGGGCAACTGGCTGTTATGCTTCACACAATGAGTTTCATCTGCATAAGCAAGCGAGAGAGGGAAGGCAGTGAAGCTCAGTTGTTCCAGCCTGTCTCTTTACAAAAATCATAGCAATATATCCACTTTCACACAAACATATCCTTGGAGTTATGTAAAGTAGAGTGGGAAGTTATGCCATAAATTTTGACTCCCACCCCCCGGCCAAAAAAATCATGTAAAATATAAAAAGAAAAAAGGTGGAATAAAAATTGAGAATTCATTCTGATAGATTCAGAATTGGTGGATAGCTCAGTGGTTCAGGCAGCTTACCGAGGAGCCAGAGGTTGGGAGTTTGATTCCCCAATGCTTCCTTGACAGGGACTGGACTCAATGATCCAGAGGGTCCCTTCCAGCTATACAGTTCTAAGATGATGGTGACAGAATGTATTTGTTATTATGCGCTGCCAAGCTGCTCATGGTGATCCTACCACGAGCAGCTCGGCAGCACAAAAGGGACAATTCTGTGCAGGTCTATAAAAGACCTGCACAGGTCTTTTAGATCAACAACTGTAGTTTCCTTCATTGACCTGATCCGTCCCATGTCAGGTTTTTTTCTCCTGTAACCACCTTCACCTTCTCCTACAATTGTCTTTTCCTGTTGAGTCTTGTCTTTTCATTATATTTCCAAAATACGATAGCCACATATAGCATTTGAAATGGAATTATACGTATCGCCTCTATACATATGTATTCAGACCATATAATCCATGAGAAAGCATGGAAAATCACCAACATTTCTGTATTGTGTTTTCACTTCTAAAAAGTCCAGCTTTTGCATACAGTATTTATTCTTTCCAACTAATATTTCCAATAGTTTCCGTCACTGTAAGGTTACTGGTCCAATTTGCTGGATGGCCGCTGCACCATCACAGAGCAATTCTGACTCTTATGTAGTTGCGCTTACATGAGCAGTATAAAAGTTATGCAACAAGACTACCAGACACTGCCAAAACAATCCTGGAAATTGCCACAATTCATCAACCACACTGTTGCTCACTGACAGTGCTCCCCCAAGTACCTTGCACTGAAGGCACCAACTGTTACTAGATGATAGCTGAATGAACCCATCACACCACTCAATGTTGCATCCAGACAAATTTCAAAACACTGCAAGGACCACCATACCTCAGCTCCATTATTTTGCCAATAACAGCCACTCTTCTATCTACTTTGGGAACTTAGCCAGAAAAAAGAACATGGTTGTCACCTTCACTAGTGTCTGTTGGAAACTTCGGAGCATTTGGAGGCTTGCTGGCAACAGAAGTCATGTTACTGCAGTGTAGCAACCTACCTTTTGTACCAAATTCAAGGTGTTAATGTTGACTTCCAAAACCTTTAAGTGGTTGGGATTTCATTACTTGTTGGAGCGCCTCTCCCTGAGATTTCCCACCTGTACCACCTGCTGTGGGTGGCCACCCTGAGAGGGGCCTGGAAGTCTACAACAAGGAAACGGGCCTTCTCAGTGGCGGCCACCTCTTTGTGAAATGTGTCACCAATGGAGGTGTGCCAAGCCCTTTCCCTTCCCGTACTCTGAAAGAAAACAAAAGCACTGCTTTTTAGATAAGCTTTTTGGGATCTCCTCCCCTTATAATTGCTTATATTTACATTATATCTTGATTTTGTTTGTGTCCATCATCACCATGTGGGCTCTTTTGTAGAGCTGTTTTTAGATTAGAGTTGCATTTTTATGGTTTTGTTTCACATTTATAAACTGCCCAGAATAGTATGCTGCTAGATGGGTGGTATACAAAACCAACCAGCCAGCCAGTCAACCTTCTTTCATCATCTGCAGTGGAGTATGTGGTAAGAAAACCGATTTTTTTTTTGTAGAGAACTGTCCCCGTCTTTTAAACACACATTTCTTTCCT